TATCGAACCTTCTATCGACCCCATTCTCCATTGATATCGAACACATGTCTATCGCGATATATATCGTTATCGTTTTATCGCCCAGCCCTAATTTGACTGTTACTTAAGTAGCCTACATTTAATAACATGGCCTTTCACTCAAATAAGGGGATGACTTTAATACGTGTATGTACTTGTTGCTAAGATGGTTGCTAAGGCAAGCTGTAGTTTCCCCCGTTAATGAAGGCATCTGATTCGTCGATATGTATCAATCCTATAAGACTTATAACTGGATTCACAAACACAATCACACACACCGGATCATAGAGAGCTAAACCATAGATTTGTTAAGCCCAAAATGGTGTGACACAGACAATTGCTGAACTGAACGAGACGGAGTTGTTGCAAAACTTCATCCATGAGCACTTCATCGAGCTAGCAGGTTATACTATAGACAGACAGTATGAGCTCAATGAATCCATGTAGCTGTTGCAGAATACAAAAGCCTAACAGTGACAGTCTCATTTGTATGTGTATATAAACTATAAGCATGGGCTCCTAACAGCCTTGTAAATGTGTCAGGCGCAAAAGAGGCCGTGGCTGTTTTTTAATAGCTTCCAGAAAACAAAGAGCTTCACCTCCAGCCTCGCCCTTCGCCGACGCCCTCTGATGCGGAGGCCAAATGTCGGGGTGGGCCTGTTGCTCTGTGGCCTCCTTTCTATTTTCCACGCTCCATCCTGGGCCTGTTTGGACGCCTTTGCTGCTCTCTGTCCCTGTGAATAATTAGGAATCCCCAGTTCGTGGAGCTAGGCCGTCCCAGGGTGCGGCGTTCGGAGACAGGACAGACGCAGCCCAAGGTGAGGCAAAGTGGGACAGTCCTCAGGGGGGGACGGGGAACACCTGCTCGGACACCATCACGTACGCACCCGCCCCAGCAACAAGTTAGAAAGGGCGGATAGGATTGAGGCACTGATTGTGGCGTGACATTTACAGAGGTGGGATGTCAAGATTGGAGTCATAATAAATATTCTGTAATTTTTTTTTTTTTTTCACTGACTAAAAGTCAGTGAAAAAAAAAAAAATTCCTATTGTCCTATTTTTTGCCGTATGTTTTTTAATTGTGAAGCGCATTGTGATCTTGTTCTGTGATAGGCGCAGTATAAATAAACTTTACCTACTTTACCAGAACGTATCACCACAAAAGCAATGACAATTACATATTTTTGTATACATTTTGACAATATATCATTAAAACACACACCTGGAGTTGCTATTGTCTCCATCTTTAATGTTTTCAATAGGGGTGGGAACCTCAGGGTACCTCACGATACGATACCATACGCGATACAAAGCTCACAATTACGATTATATCACGATATTACGATTAATGATATATTGGTCAGAAATATACCTACGATTATTTATTGCATAAATAAAATAAAATGTTAAAGGCGCTATACCAGTTTCTGCAAGGTTTGAATGTTTAGCACCGCCCCCCAACTCGCTCAATGGCTTCTCATTTCCCCTACGCTCTCATAACACGGAGCCATCTAGCTCAATTTGCGATCTGACATGTATGCTAACATTAGCATTAGTGCAACTTCTTGTAAGCTGTACAACAATCACTGATGAAATGATACTAAAGCAACGCACTGCTAACACAATATATAGGTAAAAGAATACTACTAGTTTTGCGTCCGAATGTATTCATTAAAACATTAGAATATATTCTAATATTTAATTATAATTTATTATACAGCTCCTCACAGCAGCAGTAGAACACTCCATTGACTTCAATGTAATTCTACCGATCATTTTTTATTGATAACAGAACTCTCAAACCAATAATGACCGAAGCCCCAATGCAATCTCTGTTTGTAATTCAGGTGTGTAAAATACTAACATTACTCTGCAAGTACAACGAGAGAAGCTAGCGGAGCTAGCCGAGCTAGCCACGAAGAAATACATATCTATCAATCAACACCGTTAAATGTTAATCGGACAATACAGTATACATATACATCCTTAACACACATGCACAGACGTTTTCAGAATTTGTTGTTATCGTTTTCATGACAAAATTACTATTTTAATGTGACAAAAAGCGAAAAACCCGGAAGTAACCATTAACATGTAGTTCTAGGGAGCTAGCTAGCTTAGTTGTTACCTGCCTAGCACGTCCCGGTAAAACCTCTGGGAGCTAACTATTTTATTTGCAGTCATTAAATACATTTCGATATTCAAACAATATTTGTTCGAATATCTATATTTTTTTTAATTTAGAATTATGTTCGAATTTCGAAGTCGAAGCGCTGGTGTTAAGCAGCGCTGTAGAGACTAGAGGACGCAGGCTGGTCGCTGCTCGTTCTGTGAGTGGAGGAGAACGAGCGGCCCGCTCAGACTCTACTCAGCACTTTTCACGGCTTGTAATTCTTACACAGCTGATCATTTACCTCAAGTTTTCAATAAAATTACGGATTATAATGCAACTTGTATGTAGTAATAAGCATTTTTATCAACTACTTAGAAAAAAAATCGGGTATGGCTTCTTTAAGTGAAAAAATACACTTTCTTTCATGATAAATGGAATGGAGATGCGTAATGTAGCCATATATTGAGTGTTGCTACTAATATTTTTTTTTAAAATCAATATTTGGCAAAAGCATTTTGATAATCGATTGCATGAGAAAGTATCACAATACATCACCATATCAATATATCGTCACACTCGTAGTTATCAATAACAATATCAATCTCAGACAAGCACACCCTGTCCTTCTGTATAAATGTGTTGTAAAACTTGTTTAAACATCCCAAATTTGTACGCAATCACATCATGGACAGTGTAGAGTTGCACAATGTTTTTTTTAGCTCTATAACAGGACGCACATAGACCACCCCATTTTTTATATAGATATAAATATATCTATATAAATATATATATATATATATCTAATTCCCAACTTCTGCCCGTACGTTCTAATTTAACGTGTGGGCACATTCTAGTCATCTTTTACGACATGTGTATAGGTATCATTTGAATTCCCATGATAAAAAAAAAAGAAAGACATTTTAAAGATTAAAGATCAGGGACAAAATTAACACAAATAATAAACAATAGTTATTCTCAGATCGTTGCATTGTTTTTTACATGTTAATTAATAACTTAAGGAAGGATTTAAGTGTAGGTTCAGAAGTTTCATCCAATATAGATAATATGTGGTTTATTGGGCGTACTGTGCCGAATGTTGGTCACTGGAAAAGTGCAACGAGAGAGTTGGAATGCGCCCTCGTCCCGATTCATCGCTTCTGTGCCACGTTTCCAGATTTACTTTGCTTCTTTGTTCCAGAGCTTGTATTTATTGGGTTCCTGATTGATGATCCTTGTGTTGTCTCAGTCCATTAGATTGTTATTGCGTTTGCGGTAATAAGAATACATGTAATAACATCTTATCTCATCTGATGTAGAAGAACCAGAAGCAAACAAGATTAAAGAAAAAAACGTGTTACATGTATATATTGTAAGTGTGAACAACCTCTATAGAAGGCCGCCCTTTTTTTTTGTTTTCCCGGACCTCATAACATAAAACCATAAAGTTTGCAGCCCTCCATTTGTAACTTAATTGCCAATAGTAAAACTGCTTTTTTTACCATTTCTCATTTGAAAATAAAGATTGTTGTCTGTTATAATCCGTTTTTTTTTGTTTTCTCCATATCTGTCTCCATGCAGTAAAGGTTAATATGGCCTATGATAACCCATGTATGCTTTATTGATTTGCTATTGAGTTTGATTGTGGCCAGACGGCGCCCAGCAGGTGGCCTTGAGGCATAATCAATTTATCAGCAACTGGAATCGACAAGGACCTCTGCAATAAAGACAGACAGAGTGGCCTCCGCTAATCCAATACACCCATAGACACAAGCTCGAGATATCCACTCTATATGTGAGGGTTTGTGAGGAGACAGGCAGCAGAGAAGGTTTGTCTGTGTTCTCTATAAAAATATAAATACCTTCATGCAAAAAGTTCATTATGTTCAAGGCTTAGATGGTTCTTTTGATAATAGTAATGACAGTGAATAAAAGCATTGGTTTGTTTAGCCCTTTTTTTTGGACAATCAAAGTCTACTATAGCCACGGCTGCCCTGGGGCCCACTGGCTGAAGCGAGGCAGCCACTGTGCGCCATCGAAAGAGAGCTGGACGTCGACTCCTGAACTAAACAATAGAATAATAGGCCAAATAATCAATCATCAAAATAGAACAGCCACAAAATACAGAATGAATACTAAAATAATGTAAAAAGAACAAATAAATACAACAATAATATTTTAGTTATACATTCATTGAAGCAGTTTAATGAAATATAATGCAATGTATGTATTAGGTACCAAAAAAGAGGAATAAAGGAAATAAACATGTTTTTTTATGAATCCCAAGTCATTGTGTCTTTGTCATATGTGTCATTTTTGTCATAAATATTATGCGTTTTAAATGTGGTGTTAATAAACGTCCTCTGTGTGAGTCTGTTACATGACTTTTGTTTACCTCAATAGTAAGTAAGTAACGTTTATTTATATAGCGCATTTTACAGACCAAGGTCAACCAAAGCGCTTTACGATGTTCAGAGTTCAGATATTGTTCCGATCATTCCACACACGGTGATGACGGAAGCGAATCGCCGAACACGCAGGACCATCAGCCCCCAATCAACACCATCCATTCACTCTCTCATTTACATTCAGACCTATTGTGCATGTTTTTAGTGGTAGGTGAAACCGGAGCACCCGGAAGAAACCTACGCAGACACGGGGAGAACATGCAAACCACTCAGAAAGGCCCTGTTCCCAATAGATCAAACATACGTATATTTGTATTAGACAGATATGCAGTGTAAGGTCAATTTGAGTTTTGAAAGTGCTTGGTAATGTCCCAAAATAATCCAGCGGTCCTCTCCTCTTCCTCTTCCTCCTCTTCCTCCTCTTCCTCCTCCCGGTGTAGGAAGCAGTGAGTTGTGTGGTCAGACTAATGGTTCTGATAGATGTAGGTGAACTGTGCTTTGGTCTGAGCGAGAGACTGTGGAGGACACGGCGGCTCCATCCATCCTCCATCACACCTACACAACTCCGCAACACACCCACACAACACCGCAACACACCCACACAACTCCGCAACACACCCACACAACACCACAACGCACCCACACAACACCGCAACACACCCGCACAACACCGCAACACACCCACACAACACCGCAACACACCAACGCTCAGTGTTTCTCTCACAAACTCCCATATTTGGCACAAACGTTTTTATTGTGAGCCTATTTTTTGTATTGCAGGAGATGCTACGTTAGAGCAATAAATTCAGGGGGAAAGTTTGGGGATGTTATTTTGTTTCTTTGACTTTTGTTCCGGGGAAGCACTTAAACTGACACACAATCCAAAAAGAATGGTTAAAAGTGAACAAGAGAGAGAGAGAGAGATAGAGAAAGGTTTGTTGCCCCCTGCAGTGCAATAGACTTTGGGAGGTAGAATCAATCCCAGTCTCTCCATTGTTTTAGAAAAAGGCAGCTCACTAATTAATCACACGACACGTTCTTTTGAGTGGGCGCTCTATTAATTGTCTCACATTCAATTTGTATTTTGTGTTTGTCGTCTAATAGTTCACCTTTTTGAGAATGCTTTTAAAGGTGTCGGGTGTAATTGAGAAGTTTCATTGTGGCTGATGAATACAAAAATTAAACTTGTTTTGAACTTTTTGAATCATGTTGCGGCATTGTTCTCTTGTCAAAAACAGTTCTGGAACCAACCGGCACAAATAAGCACACACCCAGCCCTTCTGCTAGAATGCTCTTTTTTCAAACTCATGTCACAAGCTAGATGAGCATCAAAGCTTCCCATAGATGACTCAATTCCATCCACTTCTAACTTTACTTCCTGTGTCCATCCTTGTTTTAGGACATTACGGGGATCAACAAGAATTGTCCTGTTTTGGCATTTTAAAATATACTTTTATCAAAATAAACAGCCCTATACGACGGTCAGAGCTTTCCTACTTACTATCCTAATTTCTCTGCATTTTGTACTGTAAGCGTGTTCATATTCATAGATATGTATATTCTATCCAGATTATTCTATTCTCACACATTTTATCTCATTATTATTCTAAATTTTAGATTGTTACATTAATTTGATTTTTTTGATTGTGACAACGCAATTTCCCTTAATTGTGGATCAATAAAGTATTCCTATGTCTAAGAGCTGATGTATGCTTTCTAAAACAAAAGTATTGTCTCCAAACGCCCCCGATTTTTTGTTTAAATGCTCAATTCAATGAGAAAACGTTTTTTATAATTTCTTTAACTTTGTGGATTAGATAGTTGTTCTAAAAAGACATAGAGTGTAAAAAAGCTGGTCATCATCAGAGGCGACACGTGATGGTGTGACGTGTCTGTCCGGATAGAGCCAGTCAGACAGACGGGGTGGATTCATCAGACTGACCACGCCTGCTGCTGTGCTGTGGTCTCTAGAGATGTGAGTCCCATGTGTTTGCAAAGGTAAAGGGCCCCTTGTGAGTTTTGCCATATTCAGAAAACGGTATTGCAGCAAAGGGCACAAAATAATTGGAAAACCGATGTGTTTAACCGATTTCAGTACATTTTCAACTGTCCCACTTTAGATCATAGTTTCTTGCGCATCTGGACCGGGGCAGAGGCTGTCTCTATAACATCTCCGTACAAAAACAATGGCCTACCTCTCGGTCCTCCACACACAGTGCATCTTAAACGACGCTTGTTTAATGACTTAATGTGTTGGATTAGTGGCATTATTCCTTCGGAGCCTTGTGCAACCTTGTGAGTCCGCTCAAAAGCCAACGCCAAGTTACGGTTTTATGACAGCTATTAAAGCAGTTATTAACATTTAAAAGTACAAGCTGGAGGGGATTGTTGCCAGATAAGTGGGCCTGATTACAAAGGAGAGCCAGTCCCTTCAACAGGCTCACACTATGGAAGCCAGCTGCATTTCAATTGAATTTCTTGATGTGAGAAACTATTGCTGCGTTACTGCGTTTTCTATAGGCTCATCACGGAACATTACGGCCGTAACCGCACACATGGGTTATTGATTCATCCACTCTTCTCAAAGTTATTCTCACATTACTGCAATTCTGCACCGAAAGGCTTTTTCAGCAAACCGCCAAGCAAATGGACATAGCAAATGTTTTCAATCTGCATTTTTTCATTCCAAAGAGCAACTCCAGCCTGATGTTGTTCAAGGACAGAGGCTTTTCATTCTTATTGTCATATTTTAACATGTTTGATATGATGTTTTTGGATGTTTTGGATGTTTTTTTATTTTTTTTAGCTAATGCAATAGATTAATAATAACAGAATAATTAAAGAATAATAAGACCATGAGCTGCCCACTGTGACTGTTCAGAGCCCTGCAATCTGAAATCACTTTAGAGGTTAAAATGCTTATATCCAGGCTTAAATCTGGGTTTACCTTAAACTAAAATCTCATTAATATTACATTGTCCCAACAGAAAGAGTCTTGTAAATGTAGCTACAACCTGCTGTTTGCATCTCATTAGAAACCATGTTATCTTTTGAGTGACTATTTGACTCTTTGGGCTGAGAGCTGTTTGGTTGAGTGCGGGTGGGCCACTCTTTCACTTGTTTGTTTTTTTGAGAAATCTGATCTAAAGAGGTGACAGAGGCCAAAATGTACAGTATATCATATGTTCTGAAACCGGTGATGCAACACTGACATTTCCCCACTGTGGGAGGAATAAAGGATCTTTTTATCTTAACGCTACAATAGAAAGCTCTAAACAGTCATCCTCCATAATTCCCAAAAGTGAAAGATGCTCCAGTTTTCCTCGCACACCTTCCACCTGCACTGATCTTTAAACCTGCAAGGGTCGGTGCTCACTCTGGCTCTTAATCAGCGCGGTGACTACATCCGCTCCGCTGTGTGCCGCGTGCCGGCTAATCTGCTCATGCGTTCGCTGTATTATCGCCTTCCACCACTTCACCGGCACATCTGCTGCTTTATCAGGACAGTGATAGCAGGGGCCCCAGCTCGCTCACGGCTCCAGGACTTCTTCTTCCTCCTCCTCCTCCTCCTCAACCCAGAGTACCAGCATGTTTAAACTCTCCCCAATGTGAGCAGCAAACCCATATCAGCGTAAAAAAAGGACACACACACACACACACGTATCTAAACACACACACACCTACAGTCCATGATCACTTCAAAAGGATCTCACTTTCGTTTATAGAATTTGTAATGCCAGATTAATTATAACATGCGAATAGGTTGATGTCAGTTTAAAATTGTGTTTGTAAGATAAGATAAGATAGTCCCGCAGTGGGGGAATTTCAATGTCATTGACAGGCACTTTACAGCAGAATAAAGAGAGGAAATAAGAGCACTCAGATTGCACAAAAAGTCTGACATTTTTCACACATAGTCAAAGATTTCATTGTTTGGATCATGTTTTGGGAGATTATGAACGATAGTGTTTGTGTGTGACGCCATATATTGTCAAAGAATCTTTTCACGAGGTACCTGGTATTGAGGTATTGGTCGCTTCCAAGGGACGGGTCAATTCTTGGGTTTCATATGATGTCAGGGCAGTGGCGCGAATAACAAACGTAGGACAGGACGTGACGTATCTCGGTGGTGCAGTCTGCCGGGTTTATACACGGAGATATAGTAGAAGAAGAAGCGCTATCTTCTTCTTCGCTGTCAAAATGCCATCTTTTTGTGCGGTGTACGCTAAGAGCAACCGCGCACATAGAAAGACAAGAGTTTCTTCCGTGTTCCAACTGTGGTCTCATATAAAGGAGTGCACTTTGAAAAAAATCACTGGAATGAGGCGGGCGAGGTGGATCAAGGTTTTCCCAGATAAGCGCCCCCTGCAGGCCACCCAAATGAAACGCAGCAACTCCCTGGTTGAATTCTGTGTTCTTGGGCAAAAGTTCTGTTGTTGTGTATAATCTGCTGCACACTGGGGTAGTCTTGCACAATTTTTCCAATGTGGTTTTACTGCAAATGGCAAATAAATACATGAATCTTGAACATTTTGAGCACAGACATAATGCATAGATCCACGTCTCCAAATCAAGTTTATATCATTCGTTTCTTGCCGTTGCCGAGAGTCCAAGGACTTTAAATATTTATGGACATTGGTGATCCTGCTTCTTATGAACCAATGGCTCCTATGTGTTTGTTATGTTTTTTGTGAATCGACAACTTTGTAAATACCGACTTATAGCAAAAGACGACTGCTGTTGTGATTCAGGGCTGTACAAAAATAAATGTAATTGAAGTTTTGCCGCCTTAAAAGATGTAAAACAGTATCCGGGCGCTTGTGTGTCTGCTATATATGTCTTCCACTGTAGCATTTCATTTCTTCAAACAAACCAAACCATTTCATTTCAGAGCGACTCCACTTGTATCTGCACCGAACAAACCGCACACAGCTGTTGTCAGAGCCGGCGGATATTGAAAATAGCGTCAGGACACGTACACGGACTTGCTCGGGAGAAAGTTATCACCGCCAGTCAGTGGAGTCGATCTGCGCGTCATGGCGGCCCGCGACGTGACTTCCCAATCCATCAGCGCCCGAGTAATGTTCTGTCACATCGCTATGGAAACAGCATCGGCCCGCACACTCCCAAATGTAGAGCATTCGGCCCCGGGTATAAGCGCGCACATGAAATTGAAAATCTCTTCCCGAGTGCGGAGGGGAACGGGGAGAGGAGATGGCGAGATGGGCACGGTTGGACACGCAATGCTTGAGTGAGATTAAATTGTTACTGGCGGCTTCTAGGCGCTGCATATATTGGCTCGATTCTCTCCTCTCCCCCAGACCGCAGTCATCAAACATCAAGAGCGTCCGTTTATCCGCCTCTCATCTCTATGGTCCCTATCGTTATTTAGAGGCCTGGATCGTAAACGGCGGCGTGATCAGAGTTAGCCCTGTGTTAATGGGAGGTCTAATCTTGCACTCTTGAGTCATCCGGCGAGATTTGGTTATTTTATGAAGCTGCCAGAATATTTCAATGCTGAAGGTCGTGAGTTCTGAATGCGTTAGAGCAGATTTTATCGTTTTCTAATGTTGTTTCCGAATCAAAAGCAGATCTGAAGTTGAGATGAGTGTTTGTTTACTTTGAGATAAAAAATACATAAAACATTAATTATCAAATATCACTACATAGATCATTCCAGAAAATCATTCATTTACAATTACCTATGACAATGTTGTACGTGTCAAACTCGAAA